TGGAGGGTAGGGATAGGATACAGAGGGACCTAGATAAATTAGAGGATTGGGCCAAAAGAAATCTGATGAGGTTCAACAGGGGTAATTGCAGAGTCCTACACTTAGGATGGAAGAATCCCATGCATTGCTACAGACTAGGGACCGAATGGCTAGGCAGCAGTTCTGCAGAAAAGGACCTAGGGGTTACAGTGGACGAGAAGCTGGATATCAGTCAACAGTGTGCCCTTGTTGCCAAGAAGGCTAACCGCATTTTGGGCTGTATAAGTAGGGGCATTGCCAGCAGATCGAGGGATGTGATCATTCCCATCTATTCGACATTGGTGAGGCCACATCTGGAGTACTGTGTCCAGTTTTGGACCCCACACTACAAGAAGGATGTGGAAAAATTGGAAAGAGTCCAGCGGAGGGCAACAAAAATGATTAGGGGGCTGGGGCACATGACTTATGAGCTGAGGCTGAGGGAACTGGGATTGTTTAGTCTGCAGAAGAGAAGAATGAGGAGGGATTTGATAGCTGCTTTCAACTACTTGAAAGGGGGTTCCAAAGACGATGGATCTAGACTGTTCTCAGTGGTACCAGATGAACAAAGCCCTGGCTGGGATGATTTAGTTGGGGATTGGTCCTGCTTTGAGCAGGGGATTGGACTGGATGACCTCCTGAGGTCCCTTCCAACCGTGATAGCATAGGCGTGAGCACGGGGTGTGCCTGGTGTGCCCAGGCACACCCTAATGCAGGGGTGGGCAAATGGCTCCACTCCCCTGGCCTGGCAAGCCGCGGGGTCTGCGCTCCTGGGCTGGAATGCTCGGCTGAGCGCAGCAAGCCGCCGGCCCCTCCCCCCCTTCGCCCTCCCCTAGAGCCATGCCGCCACACACGCAGCGCTCTGGGGGCCGGGCTGCGCACTCCTGCGGGGCAGTGTTTGGCTCTGCGAGGAGGCTAGGAGCCTCATCTCATGGTAAGGGGTACAGGGCCAGGGGGGTTGGATAAGGGCTGGGGGCAGTCAGGGGAGAGGGTGGGTTGGATTGGGGTTGGGATCCCAGGGGGTGGTAGTTAGGGGTGGGGGGTCTCTGGAGGGGGCAGTCAGGGATCAGGGGGGATTGGATGGGGCATGGGAGTCCCGGGGTCTTTCAGGGGGCAGGGGGGGGATAGGGGTCAGGGGACTGGGAGCAAGAAGAGTCCTGGGGGGCAGTTAGTGTGTGTGGGGTTTCTGGAGGGAGTGGACAGGGGACAAGGAGCTGTGGGGGGTTGGATGAGTCAGGAATTCTGCGGGGGAGCTGTCAGGAGGCAGGGGTGTGGAGAAAGGTTGGGGGAGGCAGGGAGCAGAGGGGTTGTATGGGTTGGGAGTTCTGGGGGTCCTGTCAGGGGGTGGGGAGCGGTTGGATAGGCTTGGGAATCCTGGGGGTATGTCTGGGGGCGGGGGTGTGGATAATGGTCGGGGCAGTCAGGGGACAGGTAGGGGGTAGGGTCCTGGGGGGCAGTCAGGGGACAAGGAGCAGGGAGGCTTAGGTAGGGGGTGGGATCCTGGGGGGCAGTTGGGGCAGGAGTCCCAGGAGGGGGTAGTCAGAGGACAAGGAGCAGGGGGGGGGTTGGGGATTCTGAGAGGGGAAGTCAGAAGGCGGGAAGTAGGAGGGAGTGGGTGGGGGCGGGACTAGGGCGGGGCTCCCTGGGTGCACACCCTAATGAAATGGGTTGCGCACGCCTATGCCTGATAGTCTATGATTCTATGGGGAGGGCCGGAACTTCCTCTTCCCCTGCAGAGGCCACTCCCGGGGCCAGTCAGACCCATCTCTGGGAACCTCCTCCCGGCTACAGGAAGCTCTGTGGCTGCACTGCCTTCAAAGCTGGGCTCCCAGCCAGCAGCCGCGAAACTTCCTGCAGCCAGGAAAGTTCCTGGAGGTGATCTGACCCCCCTGGGAGCAACCCTGGCAGGGGAAGAGGAAGCCCGTCCCTCCCCAGCCTACTGGAACTAGCAGCTGGAGCTCGGTGCATGGTAGAATCCCCCCTCCCCTACAATAGCCAGATTTCATGGGGGAGATCAGATTTCATGGTCCATGGGGCATTTTTCATGACATGAATTTGGTAGGGCCCTAATTATGATGCAGCACTTAAATACTATAGTGATGGGTGCTACAGAAAACTCTCTAACAGTAAAATAGATGATCACTTCTCAGTCAGGCTCAACTATGACACTCATCATTTGGTCCCTTTTCCCTCATTACTATTTGTCTTCTCTATTTAGACTGACTTCAGTAAAGGGAAGTGTCTTCCTGTACGACTGTACGGCACCTAACATAGTGGAGCTCCTTCCTGACTGGGCCTGTAGGTGCTACCACAATACAAAATATTTAATAACCACCGTAAGTGTTTGTCTGTCTTTTTGATACAAAAGTCTTTCACTGCTTAGACACCATTGTGATGGTGATGCAACAAAAGTCATAAACGCAAAGAGAAAAAAAATCACCTTGAAATCAGTCAAGATTAAATTAACACAAACTATCAAATTGTTTAATTCCATTCTAGATTTCCCCTGCCTTCTAACATTTGAAGTGTGCATCTCTAAGTTGTCCTTGTCAATGGCAGAAGTTGTCCTTGTAAATTAAACTGATATTTTCCTCAGGGATAAATCTGAACTTCTCAGTTCCTCTGGGTTTGAAAAGCAGCTCACTAAACTTTTGCTGCCCATTGGTGTTTCTGTTCTGTTGCTCTGCACAGGATGGGAAATACACCAAGGATGCTGGCTCTGATCCTGCTTCCACTTGTCAATTAGAATATGGGGTGCTGTGGAAAAGCAGGACCACACCCACTGTACTCAGAAATCATTTGGAATCATTGATAGCTTCAAAATTTTTAGCACTTTTTTTTCTAATTAACTGTTTGAAATAAAATATTGTAACAAATACCTAGTGATATTTAATACAATCCATGAAGATTTAGATATGGTACATGAGCTAATACATTTTTGTCTCCAGTTTCCAGGATTTAGATAAAGCAAGTGAAGAAGTAATTTTGAGGAGGCTGATAATAAGCAAATTGGACAATGTTAGCTACCACAGTGATAGGCACGTTAGAAATGACTTAAAAAGAGATGAGGGCTCTAATCCTTCAGTCACATTCATGTGGGTGGACCCCTGTGTCTTTGCAAAGTCCTCCACAGATCAAATTGCAGGATCAGGTTTATAGTGATAGATCAGATAGAGGTCCAGAAATGTTGAACTCTAAAAAAACACTCTCACAAGAGCTTTGGGGAAATCCAGATCCAGATATTGATCCAAACTCTGAAGGTCAGATCCATTGCTAAAACAAACCAGATAATCCCTCCTTCTGTGGCAGCAATAGGGGTTTATGTGACAGCCAAAAAACAACAGTCGGAAGTGGGGTGTGGGGTGGTGTATTTGAATAGTACAATAATAGAAGGAAAATAAACGTGTTATACTATGAATAGCAATTTTCCACAGCACATTACCTAACTAATTTGAATAGTTTGGCAAGTTTTCAGAATGCTGTCATAGAAAACTACTCTATTTGCAGTACAATTTTCCTTTGTCATTATTTATTTTATTTTATTGTATTATTTTTGTTTAAAGAAAGCAAAGGGCCACTGAAGAAACTCAGACTTCATTTAAATTTTGACTTAGGCCCAAATTTTCAAAAGTGACTGATGATTTTAGGGTACATTCATTTTGGGGGCCCCCAACCTGAGATACCCTAAAAGGACCAGATCATCAGAGGGCAAGTGCTCAGCCCTTTATGCAAATCAGGGCCCTTTAAGCTGTTTCAAGCTGGGCACCCAAAAATTAAGGCATTGAAAATGATTAGTCACTTTTGGAAATGTAGGCCTTTGTAAAACCCGGCAGCTGAACAAAGCCAACAGACATGTTCCTGTGATTTCTTTTACAAGTCTAACGGAAACAATTGTTTTTAACCAGCTCTCTCTCTGCCATGGTGCCACAGCTGCAACTAGCGAGGTGCTTAAACTGGAGCCCCCTTGGTATAAATAAGAGGGGGCTGCTGGCGTGGCTTTCTTCATGAAGATGCCCTTCCCTTTAGAACTCACTCCCTGACTCCACATGATCCAAAACAGCTTGAATGCTCATCTTTTAACCCTGCCATCTGAAGAAGGGACACACGCTCTTTTGTTTATTAATTTAGAGTGATAAAACATAATGTTCTCCTTGAACTCTTCTTAATCCAAATACAGTAGCACTGAGAAGCTGAAAGTGAAACTAACTTCAGTGATTTTAAAGGTCTGACCTGAAAAGTCAAAGGGCCTGATCCAAAGCCCATTGAAGTCAATGGGCTCATGATTTCAATGGTGTTTGTCTCAGGCCCAAAGGGACAGATTTACGGCACCTATCTGCCTCTTTAGGTGCCTAAATACATGTGTAAATCTGGCTCAAAGAGCATAATTAGTAAGAAGTACTCTGGATTTTTAAAAAATATTTTAGCTGTAAAGAATCTAAGGTTTTATTGGTAACACTAGTAAAGAAATGTGTTTGTTTACAACATTATTTTTTAAGTTGACAGTGTTGCTATAGCTGTCTGAAGGTTATTTCTAAAGATCATCTCTTTCCCAGTTATCTACAGAAATAACTTAGGAAATGTAACACTTCTGCACATCAGTGACCTTAGATATCAAGTGGTGTACTGTTACTGTTGGTGATTGTATTACATGAGGTTTTTGGTCACTATATTTGTTTTCTTTTTTTTAAATGTAAAAACAATAAAGATTTTTTAAAATGATCCTTGTACCCTTAAACATTGAATAGCAATGACTCTGTTTTGGAAGACAGATGGTTTTACTTTACTACCAGGGAGAACATAAGACTGTTCACTTCATGCTTTGCTATGATGAAACCTCCTGCACTCATTGCCTGATTAATGAGACTTGGACACAATCGATCTTCTTTTAACAATAGTGGGTCTCAGATGTTTGTCTACAAGAGCTGCAAATTCGACAAGTTTAAATCTTCCCTCAAAAGAGTGCTCTGGTGGTTTATAAATACCTGGTGAATGGAGCTTGGTGGCTGATACTGCTAATCTCTTAGGGGATGACACTGTGGGTTTATTTGCATCTTGATCTTTTTGTACTTCTTTCTTCAAACCTGCTTTAAAAAAGAAACCCAATCTTTACTTGATTTGCCATCACACAGAAGCATGCCTCTAAACAGTGTAACAGCATGGCAAAACACAAATATTTTTTCAATATTACTTTGGGGCCAGATATTGAAAGCTTTGCATATGCCTTTGCACGTGGACAATCACATATGCCTATTGCATGCATGAAGATATCATGATGCTGTGTGCCAACTGGGTATTTCAGTGAGCACATGGCCAGTTAGACACTTAACTGACCGTGCACCTCTGCAAATATGGATCTCTGCACATGCAAATAGGGGTGAAATTCACCACACTAATGAGGGCCAGCACAAAGTCATGCACACTCTGGAGATCCTCTGGCCTTCTGCACGTGGTGTACATCACTCATACACACACACATCCTTAAAAAATCTGGCACCTGATGTCTATTCTGGTTTACAGCACCATGTTATTTGTGAGATGCTTTTACCTGTTCTTACCAACAGGCATTTACTTTCTGAGTCCTGACAGGGTGAGCACATGGTTGTCTCACTCATCTAGCTGGGCACCTTGGTGCACAGTGGAGCGCTCTCCTGAAAGCTCAAGGCCATCTCTAAACTAAAGTTTCCCTTGTTATTGATCAGACTACTGGGGGGAAATTTCAAATACAAACACAGGTTTGAAGTAAAGAGCCTCTGATCAGAGTATGAGTTGGGGCCTGCTATGGAATGCACTGTTATGCCATGTGAACTGCACAAAATGAGCTCCAAAGCGGAGCTAAGAGCAAAGCCAGTATCATGATCAGTGGAACTGGAATCAGAGAGCTCATGTTCCCTGGAGGGACTGTTATTGAGGGGAACCAGTGGAACTGGGAACACGGGGCAGTTAGGATGGAAGCAACTCAGCCATAGGTACCCAGAGTCCCCAGGGTTTAATAAAGTTTCACGTGTTCAATTTAAACTGCATTCAGCGTCACACTTTGTGAGTGAAACATGGCGGCAGCATCTGAGCTGTGAGTTCTCTGCAGTGCAGCAGCTGGCAGCGTGAGCCATGGAACTGTGTCTGAAGGCGCCCGGAGCCCTGGATTTGGAATACACAAACCTAGCCCAGGGATGGACCCAGTGGATGGAGGAGTTTGAGCAGTACACGGATCTGGCCATGCAGGAGGACACCAGCACAGAAGTAAAACTGTTACCTTACCTTACTGGGTACCAAGGCAGAAAGATCTGCAGCTCACCACTGCCTCTAGCATCACAGAACTCCTTGGAGCCCTAGGGAATGAGTACTCCCCAAAGTAGAACAAAACCATGGAGCGGCACAAGATTTTCACTGGCGACCAATATAAAGTGGAGGGAATACACCCCCATGCTGCAGCTTTACACACACTAGCTGTTACATGCAATTTTGGGGACTTGACAGACTCCTTGATTTGGGACTCCCTGATTTGGGACAGGACAGTTTGTGGCACTTGGGATCACCATGTGCAGCAGCAGCTGCTCCAGGAAGGCAATCTCACATTAGGTGCTTAGCCATGGGGCGTGCAGCGGATGCCTTGAGAGAAAGGATGAAAGCATGAGGAGGCACAACACCCTCAGAAGTACAGGCAGTGAGACAACAGCAAGGGAGAGCAGGTGGCCAGGGTTCCATACCTATAGTGATCTGCATGTACTATGGGAGACAACATGAGCAGGTAAAGGAGAAGTGCCCTGCACTAAGACAGCATTGCAAGGAATGTGGCAATTTGAACCACTTTAGTAGTTTGTGCAAGAGCAGAGGAAAGTCCCAGAAAGATTCAGTCAGATCTGTACCAGAGGGGGATGGCATGTCAGATGTCAGCTTTATTCTCCTTGAGTCCAGGAGCATATCAGATTCAGGCTGTCATGACAGGAAAGCAACAAGAGACAATACCAACCTCCATGCATGCAGCGTTAACAGGAAAATGCCCTATGTAATTTCAGCTGGATAGTAGGGCCTCCTGCAATGTGATTCCTCAGGGTGAATTGGCTCAAACACTCCTATTACACTGGTCTACAATTTTTGAGAAGTCGTCTGCTTCAGAGATAAAATGTGCTATTTATTATGTAT